GTGTGTGTGTGTGTGTGTGTGTGTGTGTGTGTGTTATTCATGCTGCAAGGATATAAAAACTGGAAGCTGTTTACAGATTGAGGTTTAGTATGTGTCTGAAGGAAATGAGTGTAATTCCACAGAATGCCCTCTTGATGTGATAAAACAACAACAACAACAACAACAACAACGTTTGTCAATTCTTTAAAGATTTAGTCACGGCTGAAGCCTCCTTCTCACCGAGGGCTGGGTCAGCGCATTCCTTGTACATCTCGGGGGTGCAGTAAGGCGCATCGCCTGCAGCAGAAGCAACAAACGCACAAGTGAAGGTTTCCTGTCTCTCTCTTTGAAGTGAATTGTTTGCTTGGGAGGTGTGTGTGTGTGTGGTGGGGGGGGGGTTGTCCTACCGGGCATGTGCACCATGCGACAGTTGCAGTTCTCCACCAGGTAGCGCATTTCACAGTCTATGCGACAGGCCGTGATGCTGTAAGTGCCGAAGAACTCTGAATCCATGGGCGTCACCTTACAGTCACCCCACGGTGGGGGCAGGTAGATCAGCTGCAAACACATGAATCAAAAGCCAGAAGACAGAGGAGTAAACCTAACAAGAACCAGAACCAGAACTAGAACATGCTTTAACGTAAAAAAATAAAATAAAATAAAATAAAAAAACTTAAGCCTAACATTTACAGTGTTGGACATCATTGCTGTTGATGATAACTAAAGAAACAAAAAGTAAGGAAATTTGTGTTTGCTAGATTATTTCTTTGTTGTAACAATGATTTTTGGCAACACATTAATATCATCAGAAAACATGTAAATGTCGCTTTCAGATGGTGACACTTTTGTAAGGAACATGCATTTGTGGGATGAGCAGTAGAGCTGAGTATGTGGGTTGCGCAAATCAAAAAATTTGCCAAATCTTCTCTGCCAAACAGCTTGTTGTGTTTCTGCTACTGATTCTTGTTTTGAGCTTCTGGTGCCCCCAGGTGCCACCTGGGGGCACCAGAAGCTCAAAACAATCAGGTGCTGATTGGCAACCAGTGACAACCTGATATCTCCACAGTCTGGGACTGAACTCTATCCGCCAACATGACAATGCTCGCTCCACAGAGCGCGGTTGATCAGAAACTACCTCCAGAATTGGGGAGTGGAGAGGATAGAACTGCCTGCCGGCAGTCCGAACCCCACTGAACACCTGTTGGATCAGTTCAGGTGTGCTGCTTGTGCCGGTGTGAACACCACAACCACGTTGGCTGACTTGCAACAAAATGCTGGTTAAAGAAATCCCGCAGCAGTGTGTGACCAGGATGGTGACAAGCATGAGGAGGAGGTGCCAGGCTGTTGTGGCTGTGTATGGTTCTTCCACTCACTACTGAGGCTCGTTAAATGAATAAATTATTGACAACATAGCTTGTTTGAATTGACCTTGTTTAAATTTGGGTAAAACAAAATACATGATATTTAGTAATAGGAAGACAACTGTTGATTTCTCCTTTAAAGTAGATGGTATTGAGATCTGTAAAGTCAGTGAGGTGAAATTTCTGGGTGTCGTCATCGAGCTGACATGGAGACCTCACATACATTATTTAAGAACAAAATTATCTAAATCTATAGAGTACTTTATAAAGTCAGGGAGTTATTCAATGACAAGGCTCTGTTTGTGTTGTACAATTCAATAATTGTTCCACATTTAATTTACTATAATGAAGTCTGGGGTAAAGCTTGTAAAACTATTACAAATCCAATGTCTGTTTTACAAAAAAGAGCTATAAGAATTATCACTAAAAAATATTACAACCATCCATCAAATACATTATTCTGCAAACTGAAAATTCTGAAATTCTATGATTTGGTTGATTATAATATTTTACTGTTTATGTACAAGGTTCATAAAAACTTATTACCTTCCAACATTCAGGTAAACTTTGTTAAGAGAGACAGTTGTTTTTATCTTAAGGGGATGGAAATGTTTGTGAAGCCATATTTTCGTACTTGCTTGAGAGAAATATGTACTTTAATCCAGGGTATAGGATTGTGGAACGATCTGGAAGATGATCTTAAAAATGTCAGATCTATGTATTTATTAAAGAGACAGACAAAAGCTAGTTTGTTGAAGGTATATGGAAAGTAAAATGTATGAATTGTTGTTTGAGTTGATGTTTTTATGTTGTTGCTTTTATTTATTTTTATTTTTTCATTTAGTATTGTTTAGTAAATTGTTTCATTTGAATATATTCTGAGGATAAAAGGGGCAGACATAATAAGATTTATTCTTCTTCTGCTACTTTTCATTTTATTTTGATTTGTGTTTTTTTTTCTTGGTTTTCTATATAGCTATTTTTTAATGAAACGAGTAAATTTTTGAATTAAATTTTTGAATTGTTTCTTCAAATTTTAATCATTCCAGTCCACCAAATGAGTCAGCAGCAGAAGAAGCTGTTTGGTATTAGAATGTGGCAATTTTTTCATGTGTGCAACCCACATACTCAGCTCTGCTACAAATGCATGTTCCTTACAAACACCACCATTTAAAGGCAAATTAACAGCTTTTCCAATATAATACGATTGGTTGCCAAGAAGCATTGTTGCAACAAAGAAATAATCTACCAAACATACATTTCCTTACTGTTTGTGCTAAGTTTATATTGTGAACTAAGGTAGCTGATGAAGTTTAGAGAAACTATTTAAAACACAAAGAAGTAATTCAACTAAACTATCTAAAAAGTTTTTAACTAAAAATAAATTAATCAATTATAACACACAAGTAAATCAAAGCTTATGTTTACATTTATAAAATGAAACATACAATTAACAGACCAGGTTTTATTTGAGTGAATTAACAGGTTTTATCCCAGTTAAACAGAGTTATCTGCGATAAAGTGACAGCTTGTACCCGTTGCTCCTGGCAGGAGACGAACGTCTGAAAACCCGGTGACACGCCAAAGCCGAGCTGGTCGATGAAGGACGGCTCGTCCTGACTGTGGATCTGAACTTTGACCCCAGCTTCAAACGAAGTCTCATCTGAAGGGTGATGAAGGTGATGAGAGGCAGAAAATAGGTACGCATTGACGAGTTTTGTCCCTCAGTATCGCATGCTGAGGCTTCGACGACAAAACGAGCAGGTTTTGGATTCTGCTCTCACCTGTTTCTCCCCAGACGGGCAGATATTCATCCTGCTGAATGTCCAGCATGAGCTCCAGGCCATTACCCATACCCCCTTTGGTCGTGATGAGCGGAGGGCGTCCATCGCCGCCCGCGTTGTAGGTGTAGCACTTCCCGTATCGAGTGAAGACCTGAGACACAAAGAATGAATGAATGAATTTATTTATTAGGGATAGTGTGCAATTAAAACACAAACATAAAAACATTTGATGCATTGCACCAGATTTAGCCTAAGGCTAATTTACATCTGTAGTCCCTCCAGACCAGGGGTGCTCAAAGATTTTCCTTGAGAGGGCCAAAACTAAAAACCATTTTCCCTGAGGGCCAAAATTAAAATCAGTCTAAGTGGGGTGGGCCAAATGCAATAATATAATACATAAAATGCAAATACTTCTCAAGTAAAGTTGCATTTTTTTAAATTTAAGCTAGCAGCCATTGTTGTTGTCCACATTTTGTTTGTTTGGTTATTTTTCAGCCCATGAACATGGAGAAAATTCAACGTATGCTCGGGCAGTAAAGGCTCCTGAATCTTTTCATAATTTTAAATTTTGAGTATATGTGGTCTTATAAGGTGTGAAAATCTAGATATGGACTTAAATCTAAGATAAATGTCTCTTGAATTTACTTGTATTTTACATTTAATCTTAACACAATTCAAAGAAAGTCAGTACCATGAGTTAAGACTATCTGACTACAGCTCCTTGTACGTATAGTTGGACCAATTGTTGAAAAGACTAAGTGGAAATATAGTGTTTCAACATAAGACGGATTACAATCTAGTAACCAGGACAACTGGTGGTGGGCCAAATCAAATGGCTTGGCGTGCCAAATTTGGCCCACGGGCCACACTTTGGGTACCTCTGCTCCAGACAGTAAAAACAAAACAACATCCAACAGTAATAGAAATAAGAAAAAAAACAGAAAAATAAATATAATATAAAACAAAACATTTAGCAATTAATAATAAAAATACATAAACACCCCACCCCACTCTCCAAACATAATTAAAAAGTTATATCACTAAACATCCAATAAAAATTTGTGATTGCAGTATTAAGTAGATTTGAGATATTCTGCATGATCACCCCAGAAACCAACCAAAGAACTGCAGGTCTCCACATCCCCACCTGAAAAACATCTGACACATTGCACCCAATCCAGCGACAGGGCAATCTGACATCTACATTTCCACCAGACAACAAACATCACCAATAAGCAATAAAAACATAAAAAAACCACATATATTCATTTAACAAATGTAATCATGCCCACCTCCACCCCACCCTCCAACATACACAACCAGAAGCAAACTCTAAAATCGATTAGAAAGTTAGAGGAGTTACAGATGCTTTTCCACTGGGGGTCAGTGTTGCACTCAGATTCTGACTTGTAAGGCTGTGTGTGTGTGTGTGTGTGTGTGTGTGTGTGTGTGTGGGGGGGGGGTAGTTGGCTTTGGTGACATTTGGGGGCAATTTTAAGACAAAAATCCTACATTTGGGAACAACTGGCACATTTGGGGACAAAAGTTGAGTCCCCATTTGGTTTAAATGCCATTGGAGGGTTGAGGGTTGGGTTTAGGACCAAGGTGTGAATTGAGTTTAGGTTAGTTTTAGGGTCAGGTAGGTCCTGTGAGGTTAGCCTTAGGGTTTGTGGTCAGGGTTAGGCTGTAGAAATATAATGGAAGACAATGGAATGTCCCCAAATGTATAGCTGTGCAAACTTGAGTGTGTGTGTTTATGTTTCAGAGAACATGTGTGAGTATGACAGGTATAGTGAAAAACAGAGTGAAAGCTGAGGCAGAAAGAGGAAAATGAAGGTGAAGATAACAAAAATAAGTTTCTCTGTGGGCGTGTTTGTTACACCGTCTGATGTGATGGAGGCTGGCAGACCGGTGATTTAACGTCACCTCACATGCTCTTTATGGCACTTATAACGGACCTCGTGTTACCATGGAGACCCCAGCCAGGAGGAACGCTGCCTTAATTTTCAAATAAAGCCGAGACACAGATGTCATAATGAGCCTCTGTGAAGCAGCATCAACATGATGATGAAAAGCTGTGCATTCGACTGCTGAGTTTCCTATGAGTCACATAGACCAGTGAGGAAGACTAGAGGAGAGCAGGCAGCGATGAAGAGTTGCCATACAAAGTGAAGGGGACAGAGAAAAACAGGGAGTTTAGACGATAACGCTCGGTGCAAGCTTTCATTCAGCATCTTGGCACGAACAGACACATCTATGATTAGAAAGAACAAAGCAAACGAGTAATTGTCGGGAACGAGTCGGGCTCCTGCCGCAGGCGGTTTGAACATTTAGGCCATCTATCACCCAAAGTCAGCAAGGGACTGCTGCTGGTTCCAGCTGACGCAGGCATCAATCTGAGATGGAAAAAAACACGCAGCGCTAAAAACAACTAATGAAAGGCATAAATAATCCGTGTGCACGCCCACGTTGGATGTTTACTTTGTTTTTCATGAGACTCTGAACAAAAGGAACAAAAAGAAGTGAAAACAAAGCTCGTGAAGAACCAATTAGACCCGACTGACATCAGGTCTGAGTGATGCGACAGGTTTGAGAGGTGCCTTGCATTCAGAAACCAGCAGCATCTTACTCTGCGTTTAGTCAAATCAAAAGTGATTTAATTAACTGTTTGAAGGCCTTACAGCCGCCGAAAATCTGCCTGAGTTTGTCACTGCAATCACAAAATATACCTTTAAATCAGCACACAGGTAGATTCCAGTGTTGATGTAGTAATCCTAACAACAAGGGCATCTGGATGATTTTTTTCTCAATCACTGTTAGACACGCTTGTGAGCCCAATGGTGGAAGGCAGTGTAGAGCAACTAATGCTAACTAACCCTACAAACTTACATAATCACCTGAAACACTGACAGAAAGGAATGAGGAAAGCCAGAAAATGTGGCCTGAGTCTACAACATTGGCTACATGCAATTATCATCTATTAACCGTCATATTAATCATTATCAGCAGAGATGCACCAATACTGCTATCAGGTATCGGGCCCAGTACTCTTTCAAAATGCCCTGATACCATTTTTTTGAGTGAACATTTACAATTTAAATGCAACCTCTATTAGACTCCAGTGTGTGCGCTTTATGCCATCAATGCGACACGCATGCAATGAAGGGACAACACATTCAGCTCACTGTGTATTAGGCAAGACCCAAAGACTGGTTTCAAGGTATATCGTGATATGAAAAAGTCATAGTTTGAAAACCACTAAAATTTTCTGTCATACTGTGCCTACGGTATAAGTGTTTTTTGTTTACTCTTCCTCTGGTCTGTGCCGCTGCAGACTTTCCCCCACGACCCCTCCCCGGTGCACTCCCGCAGCAGACTGCCTGTTGGCACTGTGGGGGTTGTGTGGTGGCTGAAGAACAGAGTTCCTCAAACTTTTCCCCTGTCTAAAATAATAAAGCCAGCTATATGAAAATAGTTAGGATGCCGTAAAGACAACAGCAATGTGGACCATGGAGACAACACGTCTAACATGATCGCAGGTCCAGGTAAAGTTATGTTATCTTGAAATGAACGAGCTAAGGTTAGCATCAGATTGTGAAACACATCATGTTTGCACAACATGTTGCTGTGGCTTAATGCGCTGGTCACAACTTGTCTGCAAAACTGTTTGAGTTGTTGGATTGTGTATTTGATAAGTTTTAAGTGAAAGGTGATAAAACTGAATGCCTCCTTTAGCCGAGCAGCACGTTAGCTGAACGTGCGTTTCCTAAACACGCATTCATAGTTGTGATTTC